CCCCAAAACCCCAAAACCCCAAAACCCCAAAACCCCGTATTATGAAATCTCAGATACTTGAGAAGTGCTGAGAAGTTTAGAAATTTAAATTTTATAATAATTAATAATTCAAACTCTTTGAAAATAGCTTCGCTTTACAATATGTACGTATCATCAACTCTATCATTTATCTTATCCTCATATGTAGTTAATGAGCAATCCAAGCAATCCATACGATTTCAACAATGTTTCTGTAAGTCTTATAGATCCTTAATGTGATTTCGCTCTTATTTTATAATTAACATGATGATTAACCATTTTTAGCAATAACCGCCTCCTTCAGCTTACAAGAGAAACTAGATTGGTTCTAGAGCTCAGGTCACCACTGCCATGAGAGCAGTAGGAACCGCTCAGTAAAGATTAGGTACTGCAATGAAATCTAACGCAGCTGTGGGTTTCAAGTCCAAGCCACCTGGTCAGGAGAAAACAGGCCCAGCTCCCCCACTTGAAGTCAAAAAGGAAAAGACAGAGGAGGAGAACTTTAAGGAAATGGAGGAAGAAGTCCACAGACTCTTAGAAGCCTCAGCAGAAGCAAAGCTCAAGAAAGACTTTAACTTGGCTCTTAACAAGGCCAAAGAAGCCGCATCTAAGGAGAAAAAGATCAGACAGCTGAGGGAACAAAATAACAGTCTAGACCAAGTAAACATTGACCTGACCTTCTATGTGTTCTACAATCTCGCGAATATGTATCATGCGAATGGTTTGCACCAAGAGGCACTGAACTCTTACACTATCATTTTGAAGAACAAGTAATATCCCCAGGCAAGTAGACTAAGAGTCAATATGGGCAATATCTACTTCGAGTAGAACAAATACGACTAGGCAATTAAGATGTACAACATGGCTCTTGACTCAACTATGCAGCAAAACAAGGAAATGAAGATGAAAATCAAGAAGAACGTGGGCTTATCCTATGTCAAATGGAAGAAATTCGGCAAGGCCATCGAAGTGTATGAGGATATAATGAATGACACTCCAGACTTTGACGTTGGATTCAATCTTATAGTTTGTCTTTATGCTCTCGGTGAGAAAGATAAGATGAGAACCTGGTTCGAGAGACTGCTTATGATCGATATTCCAGGCATTGATGAGGAGGAACAAGAAGAATTGCTTTAGATGCAAAATAAGATAGAGAAGCCAGTAGGTGAACCTGACCCACTGAAGGAATACCTTAAAGAAAAGAAGAAGGAAGCTCTTCATTATGTTTCCTCAGCTGCTAAACTAGTTGCTCCAATGATTGAACAAGATGTTATTGTTGGATACAATTATGTGATCGAGGCTTTGAAAGCTGCCAACTTGCCAGAAGTAGAGTCAGAGCTCGAGATTTCCAAGTCAATCCACTACATCAAGAACAAGGAAATCGAGAGAGCCATTGAGTCATTCAAGGCTTTTGAGAAGAAGGACAAGATCATGATGGCTATGGCCTCAAATAACATCTCCTTCCTCTACTTCTTGGAGAACGACTTCAAGAGTGCAGAGCAATTCGCTGACTTGGCTATCCAACATGACAGATACAACTCAAAGGCACTTGTGAACAAGGGTAACTGCCTCTTTATCAATGAGGATTACGACAGGGCAAAAGAGTTCTTCCTTGAAGCCATTGGAGTAGAGGCTGACTGCATTGAAGCCATCTACAATCTTGGATTGGTATACAAGAGACTCGGATACTACAATGAGAGTCTACAGGCATTCGAGAAGCTACATACAATCATCCCTAACAGTTATGAAGTCATATATCAAATTGCTCATGTTTATGAACTCATTGGTATGAGAAGACAAGCCATCAAGTGGTACAATATTCTCATTACAAAGGTTCCATCAGACTCAGAAATCTTGGCAAAGATGGGTTACCTATACTAGCAAGAGCAGGATGAATTCTAAGCAGTTCACTACTATCAAGAGTCTTTCAGATACAACCCAGCCAAGATCGATGTCATCTCTTGTCTTGGTATGCACCATGCCAAATAAGATCAATTTGAGAAAGCTATTATCTATTTCGAGAGAGCCTATCAAATTCAGCCAAAAGAAGTCAAATGGCAACTTATGATAGCCTCGTGCTACCGCAGAATGAACTTGTTCAACGAAGCTCTTAAGGTCTACGAAGACATTCATGCTGAGGCACCAGATAACATTGACTGCCTTAGAGGTCTCGTGCAAATCAGAAAGGAACTAGGCTTGAAGTATCAACACTTCTCTGAGAAGCTTATGATTCTTGACAGAGAGGAGGAAGCTAAGAAGGACTTCGAGAGAGGACAAGCTGGTTATGGCAATGATCCATACTATGGTGGCAACCCAGGTGGTTATGACATGAACGATCAAATGAGAGGAGTCGTTAGAGAAGCCCCTGATATGTCTGATGTTGGGAGACCCCAACAACCTCGTAAGTTTGCAGGAGGTAAGAAACCACAAAATGATGATGAAGATGACAACTGGGGTGATACTGGTGCTCTCCTTGATTGAGATTGGAACTTATAGAGGGTTTAACCACGCTTATCATTAAATGCAATGCTTTAATGATTTAATTATTTCTTAGAGTTTTATAGTATGCTTTTCAATTAGATTTGGGGTTTTGGGGTTTTGGGGTTTTGGGGTTTTGGGGTTTTGGGGTTTTGGG